TAGGATAATTCTTTTGAATTCCTTATCAGAGAGTTCCAATGCTGCTTCTTACTCAGGGATGTGTTCTGGGTCTATATCTTGCTCCCTTGTTTCTATCACTTTATCCTGCTTCTTGACTGTGATGGTCTGTTTTTTCCAAGGCATCGTGGCCTTTTTGTATTTAGATCTCTGTTAACTGTTTGTGAAGAGCAGCATAGGTTGATTCAGGCTCTTCTTGGTCGTTTTTTATCGTTGGCCTGTTGGTGGAGAAGGAGGTAGTAGCTCTTGCTCAGTAAGTGAAGTTGTAGGAGGTGTGGATGTAGTTGTTGTCTCCCATTCAGTTAGACAAAAATTACAATTCAATAACCATCAAAAAACTGAAAGTCCATGGACAAAATATACACTATGTAATCACACAGGAACTGTAACCAAAGAAAGAAACAAGGGAAAAAGAAGAAAAACAAGAAAACCTGTAATATCTGGGTATAGGGCACCAAGAAAAAAAAAGTAGGGAGGGAGAATAATAAATGAAGAAAATAATGGGAAAAATGCAAAAAGAAAAACAAGCAATGGTGTGAATCATGAGAAAAAAGGGGGAAAAGAAAAAAAAAAAAAGACCTAAAATTAACCAGGCACAGGGAAAAGAAAAAATGCTGAAAACTAGGATCTGGTAGGGGAAGATTAAGAATAATAATAAAGAGGACAAAAGTATTAATAGTATTAGTTGTTTTAAAACAGACAAATACAAGCAAACTAATCACCAGAAAAAAGAAAGCAAAAAATGGAAATAAAAAAAGAGAAAAAAAAACTCAGTGGAGGACAGGGCAGGGCACCCGGGCTCCGTCTGAGCACACAGACTGTGATGGAGTTCCTGTGGTCCCAGAAGGTAGGTGGGAGTGGGGTGTGGCCCCACTTCCGTTCACCAAGCGGGTGTGGGGTATAAGAGTAACAAGAGGAATTGTCGTACCTTTTCAGTCTTGCAGATCCCAAGTGTCCTTGGGTTTGCTGGAAAGCAGAACATGTTCTTAAGCCCCAGGAATCTGCGAGAATGCTGTCTCTTTAAATATCTAAAATAGTCAAGCCACTTTTTAAACCTTCAAAATGGCGGCGCCCCCCGGACCAGCAAAAGTCCACAACTCAGCCCACCTTTCTCTTCACCTTCTCCATTTGTTCCCCAGCCACTGTGCACAGTCCTCCATGCAGTCCCTGGCTAGCAGGGTGATTTGTAGGTTAATTCTTAGGCCCTACCACCACTCGGGAATCTCCAAGCTGTCTGTGCCGTCAGGATAGCTCAGGATCACTGCCAGACTGCAGCTCCGTATGTCTCCTTTTTTCATATTTTCACACAAATTCTTCTGCTAGTTGGGGTTTACTCCACTTCTATATACTTCCCTTCGAGGGTCAGGGGTCCAGGATTATCTTCTGTGTCTGTGTTAATTGGTTTCCCTTTTCTTTGTTGAAGAGGGTCTGTGCAGTCATTCTGCCTAATCCACCATCTTGCCCCTACTTTTGTAGTGATAATACCTGAGAAACCCAAGGAGGGGTCGCTATAGGTTGGATCCTACTATTTTCAAATATCCATTCATTGATCAAATTTCTTATAATGTCTTTTTTTAAAAAATTTTAAGAGCTTGTTTTACATTCAACATTATGTGTACATTTAGTTTCACTCCTCATTTACTGTGTCCAACCCTAACCCAGTCTCCTCCCCTCCCTACCCAATAACCCTCCCCCTGTGCCCCTCATATTTATGTAATCCTGTTTGTCCTGCATTTTCTCAATTTGAATGTTGGCCTGCTTGTGCCCATGCTCTATTGCTGTAAGGGATGTGTTACCATAGAGTATGTGGGTGCATCATCCTGGGTTGAGTGGTCTGCATGTACATCTTGTTAACTTTTGGGCTGAGAGCCAGGCCCTGGGTGTAAGTTTTATTTCAGGTGCAGAATGTATTTCAGGGCCATAGTATTGGAGGTCTCATCAGGTTTCATCTGACCAGTAATTCTGGTCCTTATTGAGTTTTTGGATTTTATTCCGTTTTTCCTCCCACTCTATCCAGGATCTCCAGAATTGATCCTTTCCTGAGTGGTTGTTATATAATGTCTCTGTGTGTGTGTGTGTGTGATTTAGGTGAAAGTTTACAGAACAGATTGGTTTTCTATTCAACAATGTATAAACATTTTGTTTTGTGACGTTGATTGCAATCCCTACAGTGTAACAGCACTCTTCCCACTTACTCCTTGTATTTACCATTCCCTTTGTCCTTCTCTCCTATCCTTTCCTGCCTTCTTCCTTTATTCCTTGGCAAATGCTTCCCTTTTGATCTCATATGGTTGATTGTTCTAATGAGTTTGTACCTCCTTGGTGTTACTGTTCTCCTTATAGGCCTGTATATTGTTTGGCTGAAAGTTGAGCCATGGGAGTTGCAGGCTTAAAGGGTATCTAAGGGCCATAGTCTTGGGGATTCTGCCAGCCTCTATCAGACTAGTAAGCTTGGTCTTTATTTATTTATTTATTTTTAAATTTTTATTATGATTTGGGTGAAAGTTTACAGAGCAAATTTATTTTCCGTACAGCGATTCATGTCCATTTTGTCTCATAACATTGACTGCAGTTTCCCGCAGTATAACGGCTGTCCTCCCACTTCCTCCCCATAGTTACCTCTTCCTTGTATCCTTTCCTCCCATGCACTCCTGCCCCTTGAGCTGTCTCCCTGTGCATACACTGCCTTGCTATTCTCACATGATTGATCTCTCCAAGACGTGTATCTGCCTAATGTCAGTGTTCAGTTCATACACTTGTCTTTGCCTGGTTTCTCTGGAAGGCACAGGAGTGAGTTCAGTTCTAGACCTGAAGGGCGGCTAGAGGCCGTAGTCTCAGGGGTTTCACCAGGCTCTACCAGACCGGTAAACTTGGTCCTTTTTTTTTTTAATTATTTTGAGTTTTGTTCCACATTCTTCTCCCATTCTATCCAGGATCTTCTATTATGATCCTTTTCAGAGCAGTCAGCAATGGTAGCTGGGCAGCATCTAGTTCTTCTGTTCTCAGGGTCATGTCTCAATGTCATTTGTAACACTTTTATTTTGTTTGAATTTATTGATGTCTTTTAAGTCTATAGTTTCTCCCTCCCTCCCTTCCCATTTCTCTTTCCCCAGCTTTCTATTTCTTTGTTGAAGACCTCAGATAATTTATCCTTAGTTACCTTCAGTCTGGATTTTGCTGATTGTATTCCCATGATGTATTTATTATATTCTACTTATTTATGGTCTGTAAATTGATAGTTTGTATCTAGAGACTGGATCAGAGTTAAATTCAAGTTTTGGGGTTATTTTTGTTTGTTTTGTTCTGTTGTCAAGGTTCTCTCAAGAGGCAGGTGATGTCTGGGTGGCTGTCTTTATGAAACATTAGCAGCCACTGATGTGCAGTCCTAGATAGGTTCTATAGCTCACCCAGATTTTAAGCTGCTTTAAGGGAGGAACTAGGTTGCATATATTTCTTGAATGATTTGTGGAAAGCAAACATAACTTGAGAGTCTTTTTTTAAAACACCATGTATTCTTCCTGGTTAGATCAGAAGCTATAGATTTTGAGCAATCTGGATTGATTTTGACCTTGGGAAGTTCTTGCTCTGAAATTATGAATTGCTTCATTTTTCATTGCTTGCTTCTTTCAGACATTTGAAGAGTGGAGTATAATTAGAAGTTAATTAGCTATACAGCTGTAACTTTCCTAGTAGTTTTAATAATTTTATTAGTCTTTTGATATTTGATAAATGATACTGTTAAAGCTGTTTTGCTAATCTTTAATGTTTTTGTATATTGTAGTTGTCATCAAAGTCTTACTTTTCTTTTTCTCATAGAACATTCCTGATGTAGATGAAGAAGGCTATAGTATTAAACCAGAAGCAAATCAGAATGATATCCTTTCATTATCTGGATACCTATGATTTGTGTTGGCATATAAGTAAATAATTATAAAAATAATCTGTTAGCCAAAGCCTCTTTGAGTTTTTAGTTAATTCTAATAAAATGATTCATCATTTTTCATTTGGCATATTTTTTATTACTGAACGTTAGTAGCTTTATTTCTGTTAAAGTTCATCTCCTTTCTTAAATAATTTTGTTCTTTTTTATAAATATATAAAACACTGGTTATGCATTAAGATAATGTAAGAATGAAATTCCTTTACTGATATCCACATACCAAAGAGAACCATTTCTACTCATCTAGTGACTCTGACTCTGAAGATGAAGAACCAAAGAAGTACCGGATTGAAATCAAACCTATGCATCCAAATAATTCACATCACACAATGGCTTCTTTGGATGAATTAAAAGTATCTATAGGGAATATAACTCTCTCTCCAGCAATATCTGTGAGTAGTAAAATGAGCACGTTCATACTCTATATGTTGTTGTTGTTGTTATGTGCCATTGAGTTAGAGGTCGGTGACCTCTCCTTGGGTTTCCAAGGCAGTATCACTACGGAAGTAGATTGTCCAATCTTCCTTCTGAGGAGTGGCTTGTGGGTTTGAACTACCAGCCTTCTGGTTAGCAGTCAAGTGCCTTAGGCACTATGCTACCAGAGCTCGTATACTCTAGATGTTGTTGTTGTTGTTATGTGCCGTCGAGTCGGCCCCGACTCATAGCGACCCCTCCTTGGGTTTCCGAGGCAGTATCACTACGGAAGTAGGATTGCCCAACCTTCCTTCCGAGGAGTGGCTGGTGGGTTTGAACCGCCAGGCTCTGGTGAGCAGTCAAGTGCTTTAGCCACTGTGCTACCAGAGCTCCTAATACTCTAGATAGAAGCCTTTATTTCTTTGCCTTTCTATGATTTATCAGATTAGTAAAAATGAGGAACTTTTACTATGTAATTTTTATATAGGAAAATGAATTTGTGAGGTTGATTTAGTTTAGCTAGCTTTTGAAGGTATTATACAAGCAAGTAAAAATCTAGAAAATTCACTGTTGCTACCATCTTTTACAGTTTATGAATAATACTCAGGTAGAATTTTGTGAACTGGCAGCATAAATCGTTTCCTCATCTAATTTTAAAGTTCTTTGATGTTTTGTGACCCTTATGAAACTAGGAATTGGATAAAATAAATTTAAAATTTAAATTACATTTTTGTATTTTTTTGTGTGCTACTATAACATATCTTTTTCTAGACTTGACATGAAAGAAAAAGCAAAGATAACAATTCTTAGTGATAGTGACTAAGATTCTAAGATACCACACTTCATAGCTTTTGAGGGAGGGAAAATACCATAATAAATCTTCCCGCTGATGTTGATATACTTTAAATTCAGAAATGTTAAACTGTGAGAAAAAAGCATGTCTTAAAATGAAAATTAGTTGTATCTTTACATGATTATCATAATGGTATTAAATTTCTTCTCCTTTATAATAAACTTCTCACCGTTTCATATTGTTATTTAGTAATATTTTTAAACAGTCTATACATATTTGTTTGGAAAACGTATTTTTTTCCCAGTCATACAGTTTAAAATTTTTAATACTGAAATAATTTTATTTTCAGCAGAAAGATTTCTGAAGTAAGACTTTATTGTACCATTACTATTTAACATTGACTAATGTTGGATTAGAAAGCGAATTGTTTGAATTATGGTGTGTTGTTGTTGTTGTTGTTTGCCGTCGAGTCGCCCCCGACTCATGGCGACCCCTCCTTGGGTTTCCGAGGCAGTATCACTACGGAAGTAGGATTGCCCAACCTTCCTTCCGAGGAGTGGCTGGTGGGTTTGAACCGCCAGCCTTCTGGTTAGCAGTCAAGTGCCTTAGGCACTATGCTGGTGTAGACATATGAAATAGGAAGTTGTGAAACCATCAAAAATTATTGTGAAAGAGTAATTGTAAAAAGATACGCAATAAAACTTTAGAGGAATAATATACCTACTCCTCACTTATCAACTATATCTAGCATTTCACATTTATGATAATAGTAAAAAAGGAATTATCCAACTATTTTGTACATTAATGACATACATCTGGCTGTAATGAATGCTGAGGCATGAAGTGAGAGTAACGTTGGCTGTAATGGTTAAGATTACATTTCAACACGCTGGACCGTGGTTCTCAGTGCTTTGGGAATTATGTAATGATGTAATTTGGCTGTTATGTAATGATGTGATCATTCTCCATTTTGTAATCTGATGTGGTCATCTTCCATTTTTGCATAATGCTGATTTTTACATAATGACCTGGCCTTTGGAACCTAACCATGTTGATAAGTGAGGAGGGAATGTATATAATGTTAAGCGTTTATCTTTGGCTAGTGTGACCATGGATGATTTTAAATGTGTTCTTCTCTCTTTTTTAATTTTTATAAAAACATATTAATTTCAAGGACAGATATGAAAAAGATATATATGGATGTGAAGGGAGGATATTTTTTAGTATACTTTGTTGCCCAATTGGCTTATTGCTTAAATTTTTCTATTTTCCCTAACATATATATGTTTTAAGGTGAGTATATTTGCTGTTTGATTCAGAAGGGAATAGAAAAATTATTACCAATCACCATTGAGTTGATTCAGACTCATAGTGACCCTATAGAACAGAGTATAACTGCCCGGAGGGTTTCCAAGGCTATAGATCTTTATGGAAGCTGACTGCTGCCTCTTTCACCTGCAGAGCAGCTGGTGGGTTCAGACCACTGACCTTTTGGTTAGCAGCTGAATGCTTTAAAAACAAATTATTAGCAAAGAAAAATTCCATATAATAAATTCTAAACTGAACACTGTCTTTTTTTTTCTTCCATGTACTGCTAGAGACACAGCCCAGTAAGTGTAAGATTTTATATTTTATCTATTGACTTTTCAAAAATCTTGTTAATATTTGAACATTCATTTTCAAAATATATTATTTAAGTTAGCTGGTCACAGTATTTTCTATAAATGTTGTTGTTGTTATGTGCCCTCAAGTCAGACCTGACTTGTAGCAACCCCTCCTTGGGTTTCTATAGATAGGAGTATTTTAAAACACTGAATATTGAAGTTACATATATGATTATTTCTTAACATAAAACAAAAACTATTCAAAATTATTTCTGTACATCTTTTTATGTAAATGTAGTTCACAATTGAGCAGATAATGCTAAAAACAACTTAAAAATTACTTTAGTATATAATATTAACAGTACCAAAACAACCAAACTCAGTGCCTTTGATTCGGTCCTGAGTCATAGCAACCCTTCCTTGGGTTTCCAAGACAGTATCTCTATGGAAGTAGATTGCCCAATCTTCCTTCTGAGGAGTGGCTGGTGGGTTTGAACCGCCAGCCTTCTGTTTAGCAGTCAAATGCCTTAGGCACTATGCCACCAGATGTACTAATGTACATTATCAATGTACTATTAATATATATTAACATATTATTTGTAAAAAAAACTTCTGAATTATGTGATTTGTTTAATGGCACTTAGTTTTCTAATTTCTTTTTTAGGTGCAGATGAATCGGAATTCATCTAGTAAGTTTAACACTTAAATTGATTATTTTATGTATTTAATTTATTAGGCAGTTGTTAATCTTTCAGTCTATGCAACTGTAGAAATAATTTGTCTTTTCATCATGGTCCTTAAAGACAGAATAGAGGGATGTTATTTCAAATAATTTAGGAGTGAATGCACAGACACTCAAGCTGAACAGAGATGGAAGGTGAATGGGACTACAGCCATGAGTATATACAGGTTTGACAGAGTCTATCTCTATCTATATATTTATATGTGCTGCAAATATATCCGTGAATGTCGTAGAGCATATGAGGGAAAAGTTATGAAAACATCTTAGTTATAACCAAACACCATGAGAGAATGAGTTGTTGGGTGTGGTTGCTCAGGACCATAGTCTTGGGAGACACTGCGATCAATTGGCAAAACATAGTACACAAAGACAGTGTTCTACATCCTATCTTGGTGAGTAGCAACTGGAGTCTTAAAAGCTTGTGAGCAGCCATGTAAGATGCAACTATTGGTCTCTTCCCATTTGGAGCAAAGAAGAAAGAAGAAAATCAAAGACATGGGAAATAATTAGTCCAAAGAACTTATGGAATATGCGAACCCCAAACTCCACGATGCTGAGGACAGAATTAGATGGTGTTCAGGTACCACTGATGACTACTCTGAAAGGGATCACAGTTAGAAGTCCTGGATAGAGTGGGGAAAAATGTAGAACAAAACTCAAAATCATGAAAAAAGACCAGGCTTTCTGGTCTGATAAAGAATGCTGGAATCCCCAAGACTATGGACCTTAGGTACCTCCAAGCTAGAAACTAAACTTGGCCCCTGTTACTCAACTGGCAGCCAAACAGCAGACAGACCTATACGGTGAACAGTAATATCAGGAGGGTGTGTGCTTATTATAACAATCAAGCATATGAGATGAAGAGGAGAGCATTTGCCCAGGGATAGAGCTAGGAAGGTGGGAAGGGATGGGAAGAAAGAACAAAGGAGAGGGGTGGGCATAGGGAGAAAGTGGGAAGAATGCTGTTAACAGTGTGGGGATTGCAGTAAACATCACAAAACAGAATGTGTACAGATTGTTGAACGGAAAACCAGTTTACCCAAATCACAATTTAAAAAAAAAAAAAAAGATGTTATTTTAAATAGAAGGCAGTTATGTATGTTTTTCCATGTAGCATTAAGAAACATGCCTTAAACTTCATTACAAGAATCATGCATTAAAAATAATAAAGTTTATAGGAAAATAAGGTTGTGGTAGCTCACTCCAAACCTATGCAATTTTGTAAAGGAAACATTTAATAAAATCTGCAATGTCAGTCATAATAAAAGGTCTAGCACAATTAAAAATACTTTTACTAAGTTCATAACTGCCAAAATATAACATTTTTACCTTTAAAAAAAGGAATGATGATAGTATTTCAATTATAAGGGGAAGTGAAGAACATGAGGATAAAAAGAGGCAGCCTGGGTTATGGACATGAGGGGTAAATACGCAAAGATGGAGGAGAATAGCACAATAAGCACTTTGAGGCAGAACAGATGGCCAAACTAAGCCAAAAGAAGGAATGTGGTGTGAATGAGCATTCTGTAAAGTATAATGTTCATAGTTTATTGCAGTTACTCATCTTGGTGTACTTTGCATTCATCAGCTATTTGGTGTTATAAAACAGTAATATGTTAGGAAAATTGCTCGTGAGCTAACAAGACTTTCACATTACTGATCCTATTCACCTTTCTATCAATTGCTTATGAAATAATTCATGTTACATATGCAGGAGGATCTGTCAGTTTGTTGTGCTGTGATGGGTTGCTTGTTCCTGTGATGCTGGCATCTATACCATCATTACACTGGTGGTATACCACCTTAACAGTAAGGTGACCCATGGTGGACAGGTCTCACATACCTTGGACATGCTATCAGGAGGGACCAGTCCTAGAGAAGGAAATCATGTTGGGTAAAGTAGAGGGTCAGTGAAAAAGAGGAAGATCCTCAACAAGAAGAATTGACACAATGGCTGCAGTAGTGGTCTCAAACATAGGAATGATTGTGAGGATGGTGTAGGACCAGTCAGTGTTTCATTCTATTGTAAATAGGGTCGCTGTGAGTTGGATCCAACCATATGGTACCTAATAGCGGTAACAACATGTGAAAAGTAGCAAAACATGAGAGACAGCCTACGGAATGGGAGACCATATTCTGGAACCATATATTTGACAAGGGTTAGTATCCAGAATATATTGAAAATTCTCCTACTCAGTAAAAAAATCTCAATTAAAAAATGGGTAAAGGATTTGAATACACGTTTAATAAGAGAAGATATACAAATGGCCACTAAGTACATGAAAAGGTGCTAAGATGCTCAACATCATTAGTCATTAAGGAAATGTAAATCCAAATCACAATGAACTACTTCTTTACCCTCATTGGAATAGATTATCAGAAAAATGGAAAATAAAAATGTTGGGGAGCATATAGAGAAATTGGAACACTCATCCATTGCTGATGGGAATGTAAAATGTTATGGCTATTGTAGAAAACAGGTTAGCAGTTCCTGAAAAACTTAAAAATAGAATTTCCATGTGACCCAGCAATTCCACTACTACATGTTGTTGTTGTTAAGTGCCGTCGAGTCATTTTCGACTCATAGTAACCCCATGCACAGAAGAATGAAACACTGCCTATCCCATGCCAGCCCCACAATCCCTGCTATACTTGAGCTCATCGTTGCAGCCACTGTATCAATCCATCTCGTTGAGGGCCTCCCCCGCTTTCGTTGACCTCCACCCTACCAAGCATGACATCCTTCTCCAGGGAATGGTCCCTCCTTACAACATGACCAAAATAGGTGAGACGAAGTCTGGCCATTCTTGCTT